TGCATTCCTGGAATAAACCCCACTTGATCATGGTGTATGATCCTTTAATGTGCTGTTGGATTCTGTTTGCTAGTATTTTGTTGAAGATTTTTGCATCTGTGTTCATCAGTGATATTGGCCTGTGGTTTTCTTTCTTTGTGGCATCTTTGGCTGGTTTTGGTATCAGGGTGATGGTGGCCTTGTAGGATGAGTTTGGGAGTGTTGCTCCCTCTGCTATATTTTGGAAGAGTTTGAGAAGGATAGGTGTTAGCTCTTCTCTAACTGTTTGATAGAATTCGCCTGTGAAGCCATCTGGTCCTGGGCTTTTGTTTGTTGGAAGATTTTTAATCACAGTCTCAATTTCTGTGCTTGTGATTGGTCTGTTTATATTTTCTATTTCTTTCTGGTTCAGTCTCGGAAGGTTGTGCTTTTCTAAGAATTTGTCCATTTCTTCCAGGTTGTCCATTTTATTGTCATAGAGTTGCTTGTAGTAATCCCTCATGATCCTTTGTATTTCTGCAGTGTCAGTTCTTACTTCTCCTTTTTCATTGCTCATTCTATTGATTTGAGTCTTCTCCCTTTTTTTCTTGATGAGTCTGGCTAATGGTTTAGCAATTTTGTTTATCTTCTCAAAGAATTAGCTTTTAGTTTTATTGATCTTTGCTATCGTTTCCTTCATTTCTTTTTCATTTATTTCTGATCTACTCTTTATGATTTCTTTCCTTCCGCTAACTTTGGGAGTTTTTTGTTCTTCTTTCTCCAATTGCTTTAGGTGTAAGGTTAGGTTGTTTCTTTGAGATGTTTCTTGTTTCTTGAGGTAAGATTGTATTGCTATAAACTTCCCTCTTAGAACTACTTTTGCTTCAACCCATAGGTTTTGGGTCATCGTGTTTTCATTGTCATTTGTTTCTAGGTATTTTTTGATTTCCTCTTTGATTTCTTCAGTGATCTCGTGGTTATTTAGTAGTGTATTGTTTAGCTTCCATGTGTTTGTATTTTTTACAGATTTTTTCCTGTAATTGATATCTAGTCTCATAGCTTTGTGGTCGGAAAAGATACTTGATACTATTTCAATTTTCTTGAATTTACCAAGGCTAGATTTGTGACCCAAGATATGATCTATCCTGGAGAATGTTCCATGAGCACTTGAGAAGAAAGTGTATTCTGTTGTTTGGGGATGGAATGTCCCATAAATATCAATTAAGTTCATCTTGTTTAATGTATCATTTAAAGCTTGTGTTTCCTTATTTTCATTTTGGATGACCTGTCCATTGGTGAAAGTGGGGTGTTAAAGTCCCCTACTATGATTGTGTTACTGTCGATTTCCCCTTTTATGGCTGTTAGCATTTGCCTTATGTATTGAGGTGCTCCTATGTTGGGTGCATAAATATTTACAATTGTTATATCTTCTTCTTGGATTGATCCCTTGATCATTATGTGGTGTCCTTCTTTGTCTCTTGTAATAGTCTTTATTTTAAAGTCTATTTTGTCTGTTATGAGAATTGCTACTCCAGCTTTCTTTTGATTTCCATTTGCATGGAATATCTTTTTCCATCCCCTCACTTTCAGTCTGTATGTGTTCCTAGGTCTGAAGTGGGTCTTGTATAGACAGCATACATACGGGTCTTGTTTTTGTATCCATTCAGCCAGTCTGTGTCTTTTGGTTGGAGCATTTAATCCATTTGCATTTAACGTAGTTATCAATATGTATGTTCCTATTACCATTTTCTTAATTGTTTGGGGTTTGTTATTGCAGGTCTTTTCCTTCTCTTGTGTTTCCTGCCTAGAGAAGTTTCTTTAGCATTTGTTGTAAAGCTGGTTTGGTGGTGCTGAATTCTCTCAGCTTTTGCTTGTCTGTAAAGATTTTAATTTCTCCACCAAATCTGAATGCGATCCTTGCTGGGTAGAGTAGTCTTGGTTGTAGGTTTTTCCCCTTCATCACTTTAAATATGTCCTGCCATTCCCTTCTGGCTTGCAGAGTTTCTGCTGAAAGATCAGCTGTTAACATTATGGGGATTCTCTTGTCTGTTATTTGTTGTTTTTCTCTTGCTGCTTGTAATATTTTTTCTTTGTATTTAGTTTCTGATAGTTTGATTAATGTGTGTCTTGGCATGTTTCTCCTTGGATTTATCCTGTGTGTGACTCTCTGTGCTTCCTGGACTTGATTATTTCCTTTCCCATATTAGGGAAGTTTTCACCTATAATCTCTTCAAATATTTTCTCAGTCCCTTTCTTTTTCTCTTCTTCTTCTGGGGCCCCTATAATTTGAATGTTGGTATGTTTAATGTCGTCCCAGAGGTCTCTGAGACTGTCCTCAATTCTTTTCATTCTTTTTTCTTTATTCTGCTCTGTGGTAGTTATTTCCACTGTTTTATCTTCCAGGTCTCTTATACGTTCTTCTGCCTCAGTTATTCTGCTACTGATTCCTTCTAGAGAATTTTAAATTTCATTTATTGTGTTGTTCATCATTGTTTGTTTGCTCTTCAGTTCTTCTAGGTCCTTGTTAAATGTTTCTTGTATTTTCTCCATTCTATTTCCAAGATTTTGGATCATCTTTACAATCATTACTCTGAATTCTTTTTCAGGTAGACTGCCTATTTCCTCTTCATTTGTTTGGTCTGATGGGTTTTTACCTTGCTCCTTCATCTGCTGTGTGTTTCTCTGTCTTCTCATTTTGCTTAACTTATTGTGTTTGGGATCTCCTTTTCACAGGCTGCAGGTTCATAGTTCCCGTTGTTTTTGGTGTCTGCCCCACAGTGGCTAAGGCTGGTTCAGTGGGTTGTGTAGGCTTCCTGGTGGAGGGGAGTAGTGCCTGTTTTATGGTTTCTGGTGGGCAGGACTGTGTCCAGTGGTGTGTTTTGGGGTGTCTGTGGCCTTATTATGATTTTAGGCAGCCTCTCTGCTAATGGGTGAGGTTGTGTTCCTGTCTTGCTAGTTGTTTGGCATGGGGTGTCCAGCACTGGAGCTTGCTGGCCGTTGGGTGGAGCTGGGTCTTAGTGTTGAGATGGAGATCTCTGGGAGAGCTTTCGCCATTTGATATTATGTGGAGCCGGGAGGTCTCTGGTGGCTGAGACCGGTCCTGAACTCGGCTCTCCCACCTCAGAGGCTCGGGCCTGACACCCGCCTGGAGCCCCAAGACCCTGTCAGCCACACGGCCAGGTACGTGGGGAGTTTCTTGCCTTTTGGGAAGTCTGAGGTCTTCTGCCAGCGTTCAGTCGGTGTTCTGTAGGAGTTGTTCCACATGTAGATGTATTTCTGATGTATTTGTGGGGAGGAAGCTGATCTCCACATCTTACTCCTCCACCGTCTTGATGGTCTCCCCCACCGCACTTAAGCTTTAATATATGGTTTAGTTATTCTTCTGCGTCAACTAAATATTAAAATGAAGGAATGATAGAATTTTTTGAAGAAATATGATCTTGTTATAGTCAGATATATTTGTTTATATGAACTAGTGATGAACAAAGTATTACAAAGTAAAATACCTGTCAGTCCTATCTGAAGAACAGATTAGAATCTTGTGCAGTTAGTATGTTTAATGTCTGTCTGTGTGTAACAAGCCACGTAAGGCCCTATGGTGAGATCATCGTTTAGACACTGAAGATAAGAACGTACACATGATGTAAGAGACTGACGGCTCTTTGCCACATCACAACGGATTTACATAATTTTCATCTATACAAATCTCACGACTGCAAGAGTGAAGACTCTTATGAACGATTTCCATTTCATGGGAGGAGAATCACGTTAAAAATATTGCTTTGCTTTTTGAAAGGAAGGAGGGATTGAGTGTGCCTGTTGATTACGTTGTGATGTCTTTTGCCTCCAAAAATTCAGAGAGGAGGCGTTGGGAACATCTGCAGCCCCACGAGGATCCCGGGAACCCTCATTTCTGTTGAAGAATGCTTAGTCTGTCTTTTCCTGATAATCAGAGTCTTGCCTTTAAGTTTTATCGGGCTGAATCTCTTTCTTTACTACACTTTTAAGCGTATCTTATGAAAAAAGCCAATTCTTAATCCCCCGTTTACACATAAGTTTCCTTGCAGCATGGGCTGCATTTCTCCTGATTGGTAGCGGTGTGGGTTCCCGAGTTGCGCTTCCCACACATTAAGTTGACAGCTGCGTTATTCCAAAACACATCCTTGCAATGATGGCTGCCAATGTTTTACGATGATATCCTAGGAATTCATTTGCATCTGGTTACTGATATGAGGGGTATCTATATCATTTGGTGAGTTAACCAGTTAAGTACATTTGTTGCAAGTGCAAGATGCTAAGAGGATAAATGCCTTACTTACTCTAGTAAAAAATTAGAAACAACCCAAATGTCCATCGGGGGGGGGGATGATTAGTTAAATTATGGTATAGGCATACTATGGAATACTGTGAAACCCCCCAAAAGAAAGTAGATCTGAATTTATGGAATGTGTCAGGCTCCCCATTAAACACTTTATATGCATTGTTTTATTTAATTCTCACAACAGCTCCACGAAATTCCCATTTTACAGATGAGGACCCTGAGACTTGTGCCAAGTCACATAATGAGTAAATGGTGCAGCAATAATTAGGTTTGAGTTCTATGGACCCCGAATTCATTTCCTTATCCAGTTACACTCTGCTAGCTCATGAATATCAAAGCCGTATGTATTGTTGGCTCCCCTCTCATGGAGATTTTATTCGAGATAGCATTGGTTTGCGTGAACATGAAGAATAGGAAGAGACTCATGTAAGCGAAAAAGCAAACATATCTGAGTGTCAAAACTAAATGACTTCTGAAGGAGGTAAGTTTCCTGTACTTCCCATGATTGAAACACAATTTAAGGGCATACACCAAGATTCTGGTTGTGTATGCAAATGTAAGTCAAGGATTTTCACGTATTTTCAGGGCCATTACTCTGTTTAAAATGCCAAATTCTGAGTAAAGTGAGAAGTCATGCTTTTGCTCAGATGTAGTTATTCATAATGTGAAATGTCAGCTATATGCTTGTTTTTACAACTTTTCATTCTTTTAATATTTACAGATGGACAAAAGCGAAAGAAATCTTTGAGAAAGAAACTGGATTCACTAGGGAAGGAGAAAAACAAAGACAGAGGTAAAGGACAGAATGAACTAAAGCAAATGCGTCTCCCGTGGAGCCTAATGGTTGAATTTGGTGGGGTTTTTGAATTGCATTGAGTTATGTGGTTCAGCTCTATTATGTAAACTGGATTTCTACGATGGAATGTCATTGAAGGCTGTTGGAGTGGCCCTGTACTGAACTGATGAGTTCGACTGGTTTGAGCAAAAAGTGATTTCTGCCAAGCTTATGGTTCCAATTATGATGCTAGCCAATCAGCAATGCATAAGGAAAACCAGGTTGAGCAGCCGTGGATAGCATCTCTAACGCTAACCAGCTGTCTGGCAAATCCAGATAGTTAGGCAGGGCTAGTTGAATGAGAAGGAGTTTGGATTCCGCCACCATGACTACTGGAAGGAAACAGTCTCACCCTCATGGCTACTGAAGATGGGACATTCTCAGCATTGTAATGTTAGATCACAGCACGCTTATTTTTTTGCCCTGTGTACAGTTTTGGGAATTGTTGACTCTCTTCATACTGTCCCCTTCTATATCTATTTAGGAAACTGATAGCTTAGCCACTCTTTCAGAGGTATTTGTGGTCATTTTTAACTAATATTCATTGAGCCTGCTTAATGGACACCTGGGCCTCATTAACCCAGTACATCTTTCTGTGGCTTGTTTCTATGGTTTCATATGAAATGACTGCTGAATGGTGTGGTCATGTGAATGTATTTCCATTTTCTATGACATAGGGAATGAGTGTAGAGTCAGGAAAGCCATATATCTCACCTTGGAGTTCTTTTATCTAATGATCGAATTTCTGCTTGAAAAGTAATGAAAGGCAATGAAACTGAAGGTATAAAAATAAATGCTTTGTGATAAGTATTAGGCAAGACCGAGACACACCGTTGATCCGAGACTCTACACCCATATCTTGAACTGTGCCTGAAGGGTCATGACATCTGGTTCTTGGACTAAAAAGAGATTAAAGAATTCTAAAGAACGGAAAGCCAATGTTTTACTTCCCTTAGAGCATGATTTCTCAACCTTGGGACTATTGACATTTTAGACTGGATAATTATTTTTCGTGGAGGCTGTCCTGTACATTGTCTGAGATATTTAATAGCATCCCTGGTCTCTACCACTAGATGCCAGTAGCACCGCCCCCAACCAAAATATCTCCAGACATTTCAAATGTTTACCTCAAACTGAAGAAAAGGACATGAAAATGGCAGTGATCCCTACCCCTGACTACATAGCAGAATAATTTTTGAAACCTTTAAACATTCCAGTGCCCAGACCCCCACCCCAGAAAATCTGATCCCGTTGGTCTGTAGGAGTGCTGAGCAGGAGTAATGTTATAAACTACTAATGTGCACCTTCTAAGAAGAGAACTCTGGTCCATACTAACCAGTATACTCCCCAGGGCACCTTCTACCACAGGAGAGTCTACTGCTGGCATAATGAATGCAAAAGACATTAACTCTTGTCCAGATACCTATCCTTGTCTGATAAACTGTATTGTATTTAATTGGTTCATGTGTTCTTACCCTTATTTTTTAAAGGAACGTTAGTAGCCAGCGTAGCTTTATTAAACTAGAGTTTTTACTCAGTCTGTTCCTGCCATGGACCATCTTTATCTCGTGAGATTAGAGGATTCGTGAGAATTCTCAGTGTTTATAGAGTTATTAAAGGGATCGTTCAGACTGATAGCAGCAATGTGTTATCGTTAAAGTTGTTTATTCTAGGATCAAGATAATGGTACTAGGATCTGAACACTCACGATGTAGACTCGAGGTGATTCTTCAGAAGTGCCCGTTCCGGCGAAACTAAGCACAGTGAACATTTTTTGCAGATGTTTGAATTCCCTCAACAGAGGGAGATGTATGTGTGCTCGCTTATGTAAGAAAACAGCAGGAAGTGAGGGTAGGGCAGGAAGGGCCAGGGGAAGTAATCAACCGCTATGCACTGGACTATTACACATTTTAGACCAAATCACATTTATGTATTGTATAGGCTCAGTGAAAACTTGGCAGTGTTCTATAGGGTTGCACAGGGGTGCTGGCTGGGAAAAGGAAGGCAGGTCCTGGTGGTTCCAAAGAAAAAACACATCACCCATCCAACTAAGGAGAAAAATACCAGGATTTATGGCAAAAGAGGTTTTTTTAAAATATAGGTTTGATAGTTAAAAAGGTGACGTCCTAGGCTTAAGTGAAACTTAATTACGTGGCATCTTTTCTGAACATAAAGTCCTGTGTGTGTCCACGCATCCATTACGTGGATGTCTTGGGAACCGGGGTGTGATGAGGCAGTGTGCAGGTCTCGCATGGTTGTGATCACTTCACATCGTTCTCTTCCGTTGGAATATTAGCATTGGGGTTCATAACAGCTGCACATGTGAAAAATGACAATCATTTGAATCCAAGAGTAAAAGAAGGAAAACAGGAAATTCTAGATGACTTCTTGGGTTGGGTCATCTAAAAATAAACAGGAGCAGCTTTTTAGAATCGAATCGCTCTCCCAATAGCGATTCATTAAGTGTTTGATATGCTGCTATATTAATTGAGTCAATCAGAATGAATCATGGCCTGTGTTTTATTTAATTGCGTTAACATGATATACAGCAGATCATGTGACACTTCTGTGTCCCTCCTGCCACTTAAGCAGTGCCCATATGACTTTTGATTTCCATACAGAAAGTAATTCAGGATTGATGCTGGTTCAGAAAACATATTTTCGTACAGAATAGTTCCAAGGTTCTTCATTTCTCTTAGTTAAATTACTTGGCATCCAAAAAGTATTTTTTAAACTTTCAGAACTTCAGAATATTTCTTTCTTGTGTCAAAAAGAATCACTCTTGGGGAAAGGTTTTAAAATGGCTACTTTGTGCCAATTATTGCGGTTCCTAATCAGAGCACAAGGGAAATAGGTTTTACTGTGGCCTAAGTCTGAGAGCTAGGTCCCCTGTCTACAGGATAGTTTCAGATGATGAAGTGTTTATCAACATAAACTCTGGTGATAGTTCAGGTCTAGCACCTTTCTTTGTGCCGAAATTACATCATGCCATGTTTTATTGTTCCTCACTGTCTAAATGGGTTAATATATGTGAGTTGTGAAGTAGCACTACGTAGGAATAGTTGATACAACTTTGTCTTGTGCCATGTTAAATAACAGTAGAAACATCAAGTAGCAATTATCACTCTTTAGAAATTCTCAAAGAAAATGTATTGAGTGCTGTTACTGGAGATGAGAGAAACAGGGGGAGTGTGATTCCAGGGAGGAATAGGAGGGGCCACCTCGCACAGGACTGTGGGCCGCAGCACAACTTCCGGTCTGCATGCTAAGAGCACTGAGACGCCATCAGAGTGAATTAAGGATGGGGTGGCTTAATGGTGTCTTTAAATGGATTGCCACACTGCAGTGTAAAACATGAACTTGGGCTGGGAGGGTGAGACCACGGTGGAGGAAGGAAGCCTGATTCCAGGGGCCAAATCACTTCTGCTGAGGATAGGTCCAGGATGGGACTGAGGGAGTTGGTGAAAAAGGTAGCTTGCAGGCAAAAGTGAGAGGAGAGGAGAAAGTCAAGGAGACGTGAGGACAGAATCAGATGGGTCATTTGGGTAGACATCCACGTCTCCCGGGATGATGGTAGACGGGGGTTCTGACGGTGATGACAGAAGACAGCAGTGAGCATGGGGGCAGGGGAGCTTACAGTGGCCCCAGGTTTCTGCCACACAGCAGGAGGGAGAGGATCTGGAAGCTGAAGCACAGCTGAGCGACCAGCACACCACCTCCTGGCCCTGAGGGCCATGGGGAGGGAGCAGAGACAGCCTCTACCAATGAGGACAGCAGGGGATGCAGTCTCCTTAGTAAACACATACTATAGATTAGAACACGATACACACAGTCCCTGGGCCCAGAACACTGAGTCTTGGGTAATATTTTTATGGTTTGAAAAACCCATTATCAAATTTATTAGCTGCTATCAACACAGAGTCTGTAGGTTCCCTTCTCCTCCCCAACAGAAGAGCTTTGAACCCACAGATAAGCATGTGTGCCCAACACTTTATTTACACAGAAAGGAGGGTTTTGCTCAACAGCCTTGGGCCGAGTCCTCAGTTTCACAATACCCATATTTTGAGAAGCAATCACATTCAAGGAACCCTGCCTAGAATTTTCCAGGGCCTAGACACTGTGACACAAGTTTAGAGCATAGAGAGATCTGTCTCCTTTCTGAAGCTTGTGAGAGAGTTCTCTGGAGAAAGCAACGCGAAACTAAAGAGACGAGATCAAAACACTACCACTGAAAGAATAAATAAACTCAGCCAGGAAAGAAAGCCTGTTAGAGAAAAGCAGAAATAAGAAAAGAAATAGAAGAGTCATTTGGGGAGAATGACTTCATGTATTCCATCTGTTTAATTTCTATTCAGTTATTCCAATTTACAAGTAGAGCGGCAGACTTCTAGATATTAAAAATGACAGATACCAAAGGAAACCATCTTGCTTCTTTTTTCCAAGGATATTAGAGATATCTAGCCGAGTCTGGTTGGTTTCCTTTATGTGGAAAAAATGTCTAGGAGAGGAATCAATAGTCCTCGTGTCACATTGAATCCGTGTTATGAGTATGGCTGCTTGGGCAGACACAGGTCACTTGATACATTTATCAGTGTCCTTTCTGCTATCCTTACCCACCAACAGTTTTTATATATTCCAAGTAGCTATCAGCCTTGCCATACGCATGTTCCTAGATTTGCCCCAAGGTTTTTGAAGGAAGACTATTTGATTATTCCCATAGACAAGATAGCACTGGTTTACACAATAAACCCTGAGGTGTCCCCTTTGGTTTCTGATTTTGCTAGTAGTGGAAATGACCTTTTATCAGTAGTGAGGATTGGATCTTGCTACACTGTCCACATTGATCCCTCAAAACAAATGCCTGAATTGTTTTTTGCATTCACGTATGCCGACTAGTTAACACACTTATAGAGGATGATAAGCATCCTCTGAAAAATCCCGAAATGCTGAAGTTTTGATTTTTCACTTCAAAATGAATTGCATGTTTTGATAGAACAAGAGGTTCAGGCTTTTTAAGTGCCATTTCTTTTTTTTTTTTTTTTTTTTTTGCGGTACGCGGGCCTCTCACTGCTGCGGCCTCTCCCGTCGCGGAGCACAGGCTCCGGACGCGCAGGCTCAGCGGCCATGGCTCACGGGCCCAGCCGCTCCGCGGCACGTGGGATCTTCCCGGACCGGGGCGCGAACCCGTGTCCCCTGCATCGGCAGGCGGACTCCCAACCTCTGCGCCACCAGGGAAGCCCTCAAGTGCCATTTCTGCTTTTAATGCAGACTTGACCATTAGCCCCGGGATGTTCAAAATGCTGCCGTGGATCCTCTTTCCACCTGATGTAATGTTAGCATTTTCAACCTCAGAATTGTTTTCCCTTGCTCATTCTGGTTTTATTCATAAGGGTTATAAAAACAAGGGAGAGGCTAGACTCCAGTTTTCTGCTGCTAGGAGATGTAATTTTTAGTCTCAAAGAAATAATGCATTTAATATAATTATTAATGCTTTTCAGCATGAATTTAAAATATTACGAATAAAATGCTTGGCCCTAAGGATCAGCGTGCTTACAATGTGCGTGTATACAAGTGGATTTACTCTAGAGATGCAATTGTGTATACATCTCCAAATAAAGCCGTAGGTTTCTGCATTATGCTCCTTCCCCCAAATTGTCCTTACTAGAGGATTTAATAAATTATATTCTGGGCTCTTCACCGGATATCTAGTGGTGAGAATCCACTTCTGCATGTGGCCCGGAGAATGGCTTGAGTATAGACCATGAGCGTGACAGCCCTAACCCAGCAATTGGAGGCAGCATGTGGGAACGAAGAACACAAAGAAAAAAAGAACAAACTTATTCCCAAGCTGCTCCTCTGTCTCTTGAGTTGTCATTTCACATGTTGGAAGGTCTTTGACTGGGAACCTCAGAGTGTAGCCACTTACCTGAATTTCAGTAATTTTTGGCATCTCTCTCTTACACAGATGATAGACACAACTGCAATTATTTACGTATCTGATTCTCCAGTCCCCACCTCACCCCACACTCTGAACCCTTCAAGAGCGAGGACTGGACCTTCTGTAAGCTTTGTACTCCTCACTGCATACCTTGACACGGCACATAGTAGGTATTAGTAAGTGACAGTTGAATGAATGTATACGCACAGAGTCTTCTCAGGCCTTGTAAGCTGTGGGGGCTCTTGAGACATCAATCAAAGACACATTTTGTAACACCGTTTACTCACGAGGATGAAGTATTATGTTCATCCTGTCAAAAAATGTCACCCTTCTCTATAAAGCTATTTCCTTTAAACATACTTGAGATACGTCGAGAAAAACTCGAGGCTTAGATTTTTAAAACCCATGCTCTTTATACATCCTAGCTTTCTTTATTGAGATAGAAACGTCAGCCACTCTGACAAACTCAACAGTCATCTCCGTATATTGATGGATGAATCAGTTCTTCAGAAAACAGTCGTTGGAATTTGTCTGCCCTTTGATCTGCAACATGACTGAGAGTCTCCCCTGGTGCAGTCTTTCTCTGAAAGTGAATGTTTGGTTTTTGATTCCAGAGTTCATCCCACAGGCGTTTGGAATGCCCTTATCCCAAGTCATCGCAAACGACCGGGCCTATAAACTCAAGCAGGACTCGCAGAGGGGCGAGCAGAAGGATGCCTCCGATTTTGTGGCTTCCCTCCTCCCATTTGGAAATAAAAGACAAAACAAAGAACTCTCAAGCAGTAACTCATCTCTCAGCTCCACCTCGGAAACACCAAATGAGTCAACGTCCCCCAGTACCCCGGAGCCGGCTCCTCGGGCCAGGAGGAGGGTGAGTTAACCAGTGTTTGCTCTGACCCCGATGTCAGGACAACGGAAGAGTTCTAAGGTTATTCTCTGAGTCTTGGCTCATGTGAAAACTGGAAATGCAGTTTGTGTCCAGGTATCTGTCAACAACCCCATTCAGGGAGAATTTGCACCGGCCCCAAGGCACCTGACACACCCCTCACAGCCTTTCCCTGACCTCTTTCAAAGATATTGGGTGCCTCTCCTTGCTTACCCGTGATATCCAGAACATTCTACAACATCACCACTGATCCTACTCTAGTGTAACCTTCTGTTGTGGTACCAGAATTTCCCATGAGACTTTGAGGCTCGAGGGCAGGGCCAGGTGTCTTTGTTAATCTCTTCATCTCATCCAAGAACTGTGCCTGGCCGAGTGAACTTGCTGCTGGTCTTCATAAGCAATGAGATTTTTTCCTACCAACGGAACATGGCTTTTTTCTCAAACGTAACTGTAGAAACACGCACACACACACACATGTCCTCTTTCAAATCAATACTGTAATAATATGGTACCATTTATTAAGTGAGTACTATGTTCCAGGCAGTGTGCTATTATTTGGCATTTCAAATTTCAATCCAGGAAAGCTGAGTTTCCAGGCAAATTGGTTGGTGATTAGCTTAGTCAGGTGATAAGCATCTCTGAAACTTCCTAGGTCACTGGGAGATCTCTCCTTTGCCTTTCACCTGAAGCCCCAAATCTTTGCCACCTCCAGCCATTGACTACTGCCCTAGTTAAAACCTGAGGCACGGGCTTCCCTGGTGGCGCAGTAGTTGGGAGTCTGCCTGCCGATTCAGGGGACACGGGTTCGTGCCCTGGTCCGGGAAGATCCCACATGCCGCGGAGCGGCTGGGCCCGTGAGCCATGGCTGCAGAGCCTGCGCGTCCGGAGCCTGTGCTCCGCAACGGGAGAGGCCGCAACAGTGAGAGGCCCGCGTGCCGCAAAAAAAACCCCAAAAAACCAAAAACCTGAGGCACTTCCCAGTTAAAATCCACAGTTCTCAATCAGCCTCCAACATTTAGAACCTCCCCAAGACTCAGGGGCACCTGAGCCACCCACCACTGTTTTCGGGGATTCACCATGTGTAAAGCTAAGTTGGCATATTCAGACCCCCATCACTTTCTCTACCTTACAGACAAGAGAATTGTTCTTCCAATCCTGGCACAGGCTCTCAGACTGTTTATATAAGCCTATGTGGCAATGACACCAAAATGCCACATATGAGCTTTCTGAGAATCTAGAGCCCAGGCAATGGGCGTCCCAAATGCCCTCCCCTCTGGCCAGGCCTTGCTAGCAGCCAACTTCTTCCTCTATGCTTCAGCAAAGGGTGGGTGGCCATACAGGCATGAGTGGTGCCCTGCAGCCTTACCCTCAGCCTTTTACCATTCCTAGAGTGCCAGCCCTCCTTCCACCTGTCATTACCTCATCTCTTGGCTGGGGGCTTTCTCCGATGGCCAGAGGCGCCCACCCATAGAGACGACGGGCTGCGAGTAGCAAGGCGTTAATGTCACCTCCCTACCCCTACCAGAAGTTGTCTTTAATCAATGACTCTTGAGACTCGTGGTATAAATACCCCCAACTCCCTTACTCCTTAGCAGGAATAGCTCTGGGGTGCATGGTCTACACGGTCTCCCAGGTCCCCAGGGCAGTTGGGCTCCAGCGGCCCACAGGCTTGTCACAGGCTTATCACAGGCTTGTCACAGGCCTGGTGATGCCCCCTTCATTAGCTGCATTCACTTCCCTTTCTCATTTCCCTACTTCCCTACAGCTGTCTCCTGGGACTATTCCCCTAATAAAGTTCATTGTGTCACGTCTTAGGGAAAACTAAACTAAGACTGTTTATGGAATCCTCCTATTTTAAAATCTACTTTCGAGAGTTGAATTATTCTTTTTTTTTCACAAGAGTTCTCTGACTTTACCTCATTCGTCAAGTATGTGATTTTTTTCTTGTTTCAAGGAATGAAGTGGTTGGGTCAAAATATTTTAATTGTATGTTTGCCATCTCTTGTCTTCCATTTGGAAGGAGTTGTCTATTGTTGAAATTGTAACTGTCATTACCTTACCCTATGCTGTGGAGGTTTCCTAACCTTTTTTCCTTTGAAAATACAAACCGCACAATTAAACAGTATTATTTCGAGTGTGATTAGTGGTCGTGGGCAAAAGGATTTATTGGATGGCATTGGGAGAAGCAGTTTTTATTTTCTCCATGTGCACTCTGTGTTCATGTCTGTGTATAATTTGCAGGGTGCAATGTCAGTGGATTCTATCACCGATCTTGACGACAATCAGTCTCGACTGCTAGAAGCGTTACAGCTCTCCTTGCCTGCCGAAGCTCAAAGCAAAAAAGAAAAAGCCAGAGATAAGAAACTCAGTCTGAATCCCATTTACAGACAGGTCCCCAGGCTGGTGGACAGCTGCTGTCAACATCTAGAAAAACATGGTAAGCAAAATTGTTTGTCAGCAGTCAAGTACTGAAGACTTTCATGTATTCGGGCATCATTCATTCAAGCACCCGATTCCAATTCTATGTTCATTTGATCAGGCTCTAGGCCAAAATTTCCTTTGCAAAGAAAATTTACAAACATGAACGTTTGCTTATCCCCAGTAGGGCTGAACCAGATTTGGGGCGGCGCGAATCCACCTGATGGTATTCAGGCTCCGCAGCCCTAAAGAGTCCTCAGAAGTGACCCTGGAGATCAAGGAATTGAGGGGAGGGCAAGGTCTGTTGGGCTGGGGCTATCCTCAGGACCCCCTGCAAAGAAAGCAGGGCCACTTTCATCTTTTTTATACATTGAGGTTCCACAAGGCTTCCTTTAAAAAATAATAGTCCAGCTTCTTACAGAAAAAAAACAGATTAGAGAACCATTCCTTAAGTGAATAGAAAATACATAGTTTTGGACAATAGGTTTCTTTCTATATTGCTCTTTGCATTTTTGTGGAAAGCTGTCCACTTAAGATTTCTTCATCGTGACCGTTTTGGAAACTCAGTTCCACTTAATACGCTGACTTTACAGCTCTTTAAAATTTTTGCGGAACTTTAGACTTTTGGCTCATCAAACAGCCATGTCTACGATCTGAATTTGTTTGCTATAATGTTAGCATGCGTTTTATGGACGTGAGAAGAGTTTATAATTGCTTCTTTTTTCCAGTTTTATTGAGAAATAATTGACATACATGACTGTAATTGCTTTTTTACTATAAAAGTAATATACACATCATAATAGAGAAAAAAAAGAAACAGAAAAGCAAATTCTGAGGCTATCATATAGATATAACTACTCTTGACATTCTCATCTCTTTCTTTCTAATAAAAGTGGGACTTTATAAAAATGACTAGGATATGTCCAGGTCTCTTAATCAATTCATTATATATGGAAATCACTAGATATCATATGGGTGACTTAATATAAGTAATATGTATTGAAACTTTGTTTATACAAAATTTCAGTATGTATATGTATGTGTATGAGTGTACATTCTTATCTGTCTCTTCTCCTTGGAAAGTAAACAGGACATCAATAAAAATATCTTAGACATTTTGAATTCCCAATACTTAGTATCATGATAACACAATGTAAATGTTTCAATCAGTATTACTTGAACAGAATTATTTTTCAAAATAGCTTAGCAACTAGAGTTCTTTAGTTGCTTTTAGCACCTAAAGAATTTACATGAATATTTAAATTCAGCCTAAACTTTACTACGAGGTAGAAAAAGCGACTCATACTTTTATAATTATAATTTTTCCCTATAGAGAATGTAGAGAGTGAACTGTAGCACCATAAAGAATTCTAAACGAGAAAATTCTACTCTAACCATGCAAAAATGCAGTGCCAGGTTGAGTAACTGCTTGTGTGAAAGAAAACTTGGCATGTCTTTGTATTTTCTTTTTGAAAATAAATTTTCATGAATTATAATTTGTAAAATAGCATTTCCTTTAAGATTACTAAAAAACAGGGAAGTTCACTTTTTTGGGGGGTTGCGGGGGAAATAGTTACAATGCAGTTTAGGGCCTAAAGGAAAGAAGATAACCTACATGATCTTTCAAGGCCCTGATTCTGTTCTGAGTTTCCATGATGTTTAGACCAAATGGCTCTGGAAAAATAAGAGATAGTTTCAAATTCAAACAGATATTAATCTTGGTCACTTTAAACCAATGGTAAAAGAGCAAATTTCAAAAACAATTCTTCTGTAAGACTTCATTTGCCAGTGTTTGAAATGGGTAGCAGAGAGTTTGATTCACTTTAACTTTATAGACATTTGTCAAAGACCTTTTCATTCTCTCCCAAATTGGTCTTGGACACACACACACAAAAACAAAACAGAGAGAGAGAGAGAAACAAACAAAAACAATTGGTCCTGGACAGTTATCTTGACTCCATCTATATATTCGTGTACGCCACCCTTCCTCACTTTTACTTCACCCAAATGCCTTCTCCACTATTAGGCCAAAATTCCTTAAGCATCCTTAATTTCCCCGAAGCACACATTTCAAACAAAAACAACGACCAAAAAAAAAAAAAAAAAACCCAGACAATATAACAAAGAGTCCAACTCTCTTCTACTTAAAGGATGTAGGCTGATTTTAGGGTGGGGCCGCCTCCTTATTATGCCTGCCCCCATTACTTGAATTCCCTAAGCCTGAGATTCAGGTGCCCTGGTTCTGGTTTCCATTTCAGCTTCTGACAAAAAGGAGAGAAAGGCGATCATATCCATTTCTGGCACAGGGTACAGCAAAGTCACATTTCTTTGCCAGATCTATGCCTTTTTTGATGGACACCTGTTTTTAACAGTGACTGTCTCAAGTCAAGGTTACTGGATGCCTAGATTGTATCTTCTCTTTGAGGAAAATGACTCTAAGGCTTATGTCAGAGAATGGCATTGGCTGTCTGAAGGCTGTCATCTGCTCAACCTAAAATTAATTAATTAATTAATTTAAAAACTTAAAACAGGTTATAATCGATTGGTACATAGGAATTATAGCAATCAGTCACTAGCTAGTTATTTTTGGAATCACAGTCACTTTTACTGAGTGGAAAAATACTATAATTTAGGAAATAGTGACACAGAAATGGGCATTTCTGAACAGAACGGAGGACTTCAGGCAAAGGAATAGTCCCACCTGGGAAGAAAGTGCCCTTATGTGATATCTCACTTATGTAGAAATTTCAGCCACTTGGAAACCATCGGACCAACAAGAAAATAAATGCAGCCAAAACTAAAATTGCTAAGACCTCCTATTATATTACAGTTTTCTGTTCTGCACAAAAAGCCTTATTTAGTTCAGTTAGGGCCTATATCTCTCTGTATAATAGTAGATGCCAGATACAATTCTAAGTATTTTATATACATTCATTAATTGAATCACTGAACAACTTTCCAGGTGGATACTTATTTTGCTCATTTTGTAGATGAAGAAATATAATTCTGTATTTGATTCTAATACCTTGATTATCCTGTTTTCAAGCTCCCAGAGAGGTAGAAGCAGTAGATTAGGCTGGGGGCTGGACTCAGTTATAAGGCAGATGAACTGATGGCAGCAACAAGGAAGGAACACAAGTCTTTTGAGAACAGATGCAAAGCAAAATTCCACCCAAGTGCAAAGCACCAAGATGTACTTATGCAAGTCAGCAATAACTAGCCTCTCAGCATGATTCTCTCAAATTATTCTGGAAATTCAGGATAACGCTCATAAGAAATAAAAGTGATAAATGGGATATTTATGGATATTATCGTTTCTAACTGAAAAATTCTAGAAAACCAATTTTAAAAGTCTTATACACAATACACAATGTGGCAAGACCATAAAATAAATACACAAAAAGATATCCATGTCTCATATAAGAGCAATAATAGGTTATGTACTATAAAATAATTCATTTATATTAATATCAAACGTATAGTTACGTAGAATATCTGTAATAAGAAGTAAGAAACTTCTGTGACAAAAACTGCAAAGCTTTACCAAGAAATGTTAAGAAACTAAGAAATAAATTAAGATATCTACTTTGTTTCTGGATGGGAAGAAATAATGTTGTAAAGATTTCAGTTCTTTCCAATATCATTATATATTGGACTAGTCAGAACTCTTTCCGTGGCAAGAGAGAAGAACCCAGATAAAAGCAGATTAAGCAAAGCAGCCCCCCCAAATTCCCACTTACATGCTGGAAGTATGAATATTATATCTAGATTCAGGAACAGGTAGATTCAGGATGCAAATAATGCCATGAGAGCGTGAGTCTGATTGCTGGAGTGTTGACTATGTTTCATGGTCTGTGGACTCTCACAGCAGCTCTCTTCATGTGGCTACAAGCCACCCCTGGCAGCTACAATCTGCCATCAGCCTTGTAACTCATTATCCCAAATGAAGAGAAGATGAGCCACCAATGAAACAATAAACGTAGACAATGATCATCAGTGGCAGTGACTCATGGCTTGCATAGGAAAGGAGAGTCATGCAGACCCTCTGTGCCACCTTAAGGAAGTGCATAATACCTCTTGTGAAGTCTTCTTGCCCCCAAGTCCAAACCTGAATCAGAGAAAACTCTGGCTCTAACTATCTCTTTAGAGGAAATAAAGGGGAGAAAGGAGCACATAAATGACACCACAGAGTGTCTACATCCAGGCAGTGGGAAAATCTACAGTGGGAAATCAATGCTATTTCTTCCTCAAACCAATTATGAGGAAATCATATAAACAGAGAAGGGGAAACAAACACGTTAAGAGACTACAAGGCTCGCCAGCCTATCACAGTTTGTGAACCTTATGTGAACGTTGACTGGATATTTAATGATATTAAGGAACTATTGTTGAAATGTCTAACTTGTGGTAGATTATGTTTCTTTTAAGAGACCTAATTTTTTAGAGCAAAGAGTTTCTCAGCCTTGGCACTACTGACATTTGGGGCTGGATAACTCTTTTTCATGCACTGGCCCCATAATCCCACTTCTAGGACATGATCTTAAGACAATCAGAAATGTAAACTGAGACCTATGTACAGAGTTGTTCCTAATAGGGCTAGTTATGGTATCAAAACAAGTGCATATATGTTGCGGGGAGCTATATTGTCATTCAGAGGAGAATATGAAGTGAATTGTGGCACATTCATGCAGTAGAGTATTTTGCATCCATTTTAAATGACATTGACAGAATTTTTACTGGCATAAAAAATTATTGTGGCATAATATTGAGTAAAAGCAGCAGCATTCTACCCCCGATATTTTTTTTTCATGGAGAAAAGACTGAACAGAAATAAACTCAAATATTAAGTCATTACTTCTGCATCAGGTATTTTTTAAAGTATATTATTTTTTACATTTTTCTGCACCTTATAGATTTTCTTTAATAAGTACATGTTTTAATTATGATCAGTAAAGCAAGAAATGTCTATTTTAAAATTGATAAAGGGCTGGAAATTCATAGAAAATTCATGTTTATTCTGAATGATGAAGAAAATGTTACATTATTTTTTTCATATGGAGAAAGTGTGGAAATACATAATAACGCAAGAAAATTTTTTCATCAGAAACATTTAACGTAAAATGATCCTGGTACTTTCAGGGCTAACCTCTAGGTACCTGGTGAATCTAGTGCGGGATAAAGAAGCATTCGTGCACACTGTCAAGTTACTATACTGCCCTGCATGTTGCAGCGTGGTGCTGGCATTCCCTTTTATATCTATTTTGATTTCCTCCAGTTTCAAGCCACAAAACAGGACTGACGATTTTGTTTGCTTATTTGCAGGCCTCCAGACAGTGGGGATATTCCGAGTTGGAAGCTCAAAAAAGAGAGTGAGACAAGTAAGTGAAAAGTGAAGATTATATTGTACGTTTCACCTGACTTTTAGTTGAATTACATCGTGCAAAGTTCAAGCTCATGCAAATTCATTTCTGAATATCTTTTCTGTACCCTCCCACCTATTATAGTATAATTGAGTCCCAGGAAGTGAAAGGCAACAACTCAGAATCTCAGAAAGGTCGTGAAAGAGTTAGGATCATACAACTGAAAGCAAAACATCTGGCCGTGCCCACCGCATGTACAGCCAAATGAAACTAATTTATAAACATCTTACTGACACTGTAAATGTAGGAGATTCGGAGAGTACCTGATCAGTCAGTGATCGTAAATAGCAAACAATTGTACAGCACCCGTTTTTACTAAAATGAGACATGAGTAATGCCATTAATATCTCTTCTTTTAAAATACTATGTTTATAGCTTTACTTTCTCGAAAATAAATAATTCATATTACTTTTCCAAGGTCCCATTGATTCCCCAGTTCATTTTCCATGTGGGGACTGTACCCCTCAGTTTCCTTCTGCACTCTGCAGCATTCTTGCAAAAGAAGTTTGATATGAGAGCTTCAGGAATAGGCTCCTATGACCAGGCAGGTATCTGTGTTCATGACGGCTTCAGAAAAGGCAAACCATCCTTTGAGAAAAGAATTCATTTGTTGGCTAAAAGAAAATTAAAATGTTATTTTCCCTCTGTTGGTGCCAACAGAAAGAAGTAAGGAACCCAGCAATTCAAAAATGAAGCCAAATGAAAATAATTTTTAGTTGGATGAAGCTGAAGAAACGCTATTTGTTCATATTATTGAAACTAACTGAAATAAGTGTCTCCTCATAATGTCTTTCTTTTTTTGTCAAGACAAAAGGGGTTTTCAAAAGAAGTATGTTTTCTGTTTGGTTGGTTGGTTGGTTTTATTTGTAATAGTCACATAAGATACTATTGAACATTTAACAGTTCACAGTAAGATTAGCAGGAAGAAAGTTAGCATAGTAATAACATTTCTTAGGCCTCTCACCTGTGCAGAATTGCAGAATATTTTTATCAACGTTGTCTCGTTGAATCCGCCCACCGGCTGGGAGACAAGCCCCTTTCACCCACTTCTTCTGAGGCTTAGAGAGATTAAGAAATTTAATTCAGGAGCACGCAGTTTAGACCAAGCTCTTCCCACGATCCGTTCTTTCTGCATGTGTGTGTGTGCGTGTGCGTGTGCGCTCAGAAGAAAAACATGGTGTGTTTAGATGACCACGATTAGGAGTGGTGCTGATGGAAGCCTTCTTCATTCTGGCTGCCCGATACACACTAAGGATGAGTTGCCTGGAATTGATGTGCCATTCGGGACAGCAACAGGCATTCTTGTCAGGTGGCGAGGTGGCTAGTGACAGAAATTATTCCTCAGTTATATCTGGATCCACTAAAGGGAAAACCTTTGCATGGAGATTTACGTAAGGATTCTCAAAAATACATATAGAATTAGTGGTTAGATTTCAAGTGTGAAATATGCTCTAACTCACCATTTGATCTTGGTATATCACTTCTTAGCATCCTACACTTTTTCTTGAGAACAACTGTCACAGTATAAAGAGCTAATTAATCATTGGTGGGATTACCAATTTATCACCTGTCTGTCAGCCTGAGAGCTGGAGGAGGGGGAGGGCTTTGCCTCTTTACTCGTCACCTTATTTTGAGGACCTGTAACAAGGCCATACACAGTAAGTGTGCAGTACATCTTTGCTGAATGAATGGGTGAATGAATGACACAGCAAATGAACACTTACAGAAGTTTATTGCCTAGAGTACATTTATGAACTCACAAAATTATTTTAACAGCAGAGAACAAACAATACCTAAGAGAAGTTGAGCTGTCCGAGATGAAAATAGGGTGTAGAGTTATGACTCTCTTCTTGCTATTGTGTTTTCCTACTGTTATAAACGCTAAAGGACTGAGTATAATGATGAAAGCAGGAAATCTTCTTGGAAAATGTTAATAAGGCTACTTTGACAAATCTAAGGCAGATTTTATTTCGTTATTGTCATCTTTCAAGGCTTAGTCACAAATGGTTTATCAGGGTTTTTTTTGTTTTGCTTTTGTTTTTGTTTTTCGGGTTTTTTTTTGCGGTACGTGGGCCTCTCACTGTTGTGGCCTCTCCCGTTGCGGAGCACAGCTCCGGACGTGCAGGCTCAGCGGCCATGGCTCACGGGCCTAGCCGCTCCGCGGCATGTGGGATCTTCCCGGACCGGGGCACGAACCCGCGTCCCCTGCATCGGCAGGCGGACTCTCAACCACTGCGCCACCAGGGAAGCCCCTATCAGGGTTTTTAATTTCATTGTTTGCAGAAATATCTCTTTGCTTTCTTGTCGAGTATTTCTGGAAAATGTCAAAATTCCAACATGGTAAATTTGCTGACATGCAAAACCACTGTATAATAGATTAATTCCTCCCTCCCACAGTTAGAATTGACCTAACCCCTTAGCTCTTCCTCCCAACCTTCTGGATGTCGTTATCAAGCCCTTCTGCTTGCATCGTTAACAGTAAATGCACAGGTACTTTGATTTAATAATTTATTTCATATATATATATATATATATATATATATATATATATTCATGGCTGGGTTTGCATAGACTTTGTAGATCAAGGTGACATGTTGTTTGCTCCTCCTTCTTGGGGTCTGGGTAAACTTAACACCAGATGCTGCATGTCATAGCACTTCTCTTGCTGGGCGCTGAACATTGACGTATGGTGTTCTGAGACTGCCACTTGAACCGTTGTCTTTCCAGTTACGTGAGGAATTTGACCGTGGGGTTGACGTGTCCCTGGAGGAAGAGCACAGCGTTCATGACGTGGCTGCCTTGTTGAAGGAGTTCCTGAGGGACATGCCGGACCCCCTTCTCACCAGGGAGCTGTACACAGCTTTCATCAATACTCTCTGTGCGTAATGCAGCCATTTGCAGGAATGTGTTCCTGGGTTACTGGGATGTCCCACTCATTCATGAAAACCTTATGCATGTGTTTTCTAATAGCTTTTTTTTTTTTTGCCCTTATTTATCAGTCTCTAATGAGCGGGCTATTTGGGGAATTTTCTGAGATTTACCCTGGGGAGAATTAGCAAGTAGAAAGTTGCAATAAAACAAATGGAAGTAGCCAAGAAAAATTTGGGATGCCTTCAAACGACTCTAGGATGGTAGAAATTGCTATAAATTGATGCTTTGGAGGAACAGAGAGAGTTCACATTGAGTCTGGGCCTAAAAATGAGTTTGCATTTCTGGAACCTAGAGTGAGAAAGCTGGGGGGGCAGGAAACATTCCAGGGAAAGCGGGATGGCATCGCCCAGTGTCACTACTTTCAATGTGGCTGCTTCAGGGCTAGAGACACAGATCCCACACAGGGGAAAAGGACGGGGAGAGGGAGGAGGAACCACCAGAACGGTTTCAGCCTCCATGAATTTCTTCATCCATGCTGCAGTTAAGATAGGCTCACAAAAGAGAGAGAAGACACTGACATTGGGCCGTGTCTTGGTTATCGCCAACAAAAAGTCTACCTCATACATTGCTCAACAGACAAGGGTCTCAAATGTCTTCTAAACTCAAATTTAAGAACATTCACAGATTCTCAGTCACTGTCAGCAAATAGTTAACTACCATGAAAGACTGTCATCCATAAAGTATGTGATGGTTTATACCAGGGGAAAGAGGGAGAGGAAAGTAAGGGACGTGGAGTTACCTTTCTAACCTGGATTATAAGGATTTCTCTGGATGGTACATTTCCCCAGGTCGAATTCATCTTTGTATCCCTCATAGAACCTTACTGTTCAATTGCTAAAGCAATGGGAGAGTGGGTGAAGGAATGAAATGTGACTTGCCGTGCTAATCCCTTTCTGAAGGCAGTTGAGCGTGAAGGGCATGACGTCCCCCTTTGACTCACTCGGAGCGCCTCTCTTTGCCTTGCTTAGTGTTGGAGCCTGAGGAACAGCTGGGCACCTTGCAGCTCCTCATCTACCTTCTACCTCCCTGCAACTGCGACACGCTCCACCGGCTGCTGCAGTTCCTCTCCATCGTGGCCAGGCACGCCGAGGACAACGTCAGCAAAGACGGGCAAGAGGTGCGCACCCCACCGCCAACCGCAACAGATGCTCTGGTTCTTCCTTTTTCCTGTTTTAAAAGGGAGAGCTAAAAAATAATACAAATGGATGTCTATGCAAAACAGAAACAGGCTCACAGACATAGAAAACAAACGTGCGGTTACCAAACGGGAGACAGATGCGGGGAGGGATGAATTCGGGAAGTGGGATTAATAGATACAAACTACTCTACATAAAGTAGATAAGCAACAAGGATATAGCGTGTAGCACAGGGAATTATACCCACTGTCTTGTAATAACCTATACTGGGATATAATCTGTAAAAATACTGAATCACTATGCTATACACCTGAAACTAACGCAATATTGTAAATCAACTATACTTCAACTTTAAAAAAAAAAAAAAAGGAGTGCTACCAATTTGGTCAGATGTTTCACCTGGAGAAAATGAAGCTTCCCTTTCCTGGCCTATGTGTCTATGTAGGAAGAGAACTAATACAGGCTTCCCCCCCGCCCCTGGAGGGACCGTTCCTAAGAGCGCATTGGCCATTAACTTCCTTGTATGTTTCAAGGATGCTTCCAACTGAGGGTGTCATTTTCCATGATGATGCTTTACTCAAGACCCTGAATTTCCATTTGTGTGAAGGAGACGAACGTGAGCTACAGAGGTGCTTACAAGCATGAGGAAAATGGAGTAACGGAGGCGGGGGGAGATGGCTGTCCTTGTAACTCATTTGATCTGCTGCTTTACCTTGAAGCCCAGACATGGTGTCACCTCTTCATTCTTCCATTTCATTCTGGAGCACCCATGTGCCTTATGGCTAGAAGTCTAGGATCTTCCATCTTAGAGGTGCTTTCTCTCCTTCACCCCTCCCCCCAAAATAGGGACTGGCTCAGTGCGATGGAGGGTGGATCCTGCTTCAAAACCAGGTGGAGAGAAGAACTGAAAAGTCAGCTCTATTGACTGTTGCCATGTATCTCAATGCCACATGGTACGAACTGCTAAAGACAGGTTCTGCACAGTCCTCTGGACCCTTTTGGGACGTTCTTGTTGGACCTGGCCCCCCATCTGAGGTCTTGGGCTCTGGTTCTCTTTGGTCATACTCCTGTGCTTCAAGGTGTTTTCCAGTTTCTCCCTTGGACAATTTTAAGTGACCTGTTAGCAAGCAGCCTATTTAATCTTTGCCTTAACGAGAGACCTGTTTCCCTTCTTGAAACCATGCAGTCATACTTCTCCCTGACCTTGGATTCCCCAGGAGATCTCAGACCCTTTAATATGTGGACATGCATTGTAGATCAACAAGAAGGCGGCAAGGGCATTCCAAGCTTACTTATCCCAGAAGCTTTTATTTTAAATCCTGTTAAGCAGAACACAGCTGTGTTGTGGATTCATTTCTGTGTTTGTCAGATTTCTTTCCCAAAGGCCATGGTTATATGTATTTTTTTTCAGAAAGGCAGTTCTCCCTTTCTTATCCTCACCCTCCCTATCAGTGTGAGAATGGAACCTTCCTGAGTTATCCATTTCTCTCTATAGCAGTTATTAGTGAAACCTCTGCTGGCTTCAGGTTTCATAATATGGCACTGCCACCTTCTTTCAGCAGACACAGCTCTTCAAAGCATATACTGTAATTCTCATAATTGTTAAGTAGTTATATTACCCGTCTGGGTGTCAGCCTTGATTGACTATAGATATAAGAGAAGCTGTAGAATCATCTGCCTAATCATTGGGTCAAGACAGAGCCCTGTCTGGGTTCCTAGGTATATCGGTTGCCTCTCTGACGTTTCTTAAGTACTATGTGAGAAGAAAGTCGGGTCTTAGGTGATTAAGAAGGCATTGAGGAAAGCAAAATGTCCAGTTGAACTCACTCGTGTCTTTTTGAAATCATTTGCAGACATGCTTTCGGTCCACATGCTGAACAGGACTGCATTGCCTGTGGCAAAGAGGAGAAAATATTCTTGGATAGGTACCAGCTAGGTGCCATTCACGTCTCTCCTACCATGTGCCGGCCGTGTGCTTGGGCCTTTATACATATATTATAGCTAATCCTCCATGGAGCAAGAGAGAGGTCGTCATCCCTGTGTTTCCGCGGTGGAAACCGAGGGCTGGAGGGGTTATGTAACTTACCCAGCGTTCCCCAGGGAGCCTCCACTTAACGCTAGTGCAAGTCGTGCATTCGTGACCCTGGGCGAGGTGCCAGGTCCCCCACAGTCAATGCAGATTTGCAGAGATATTAGGACAATATGCCAGCAGGTGGCAGTAAAATATCTTGAGGAAGGGCTCCTTTTTCTAATTCACACAAAAGTGTCATATTGACTAGTAGTCGGTTCGGTCCCTTGACTAGCGAAGTCCTAGCTGTGCCTCAAACCCAAACCACTCTGATTTACGGAGAACAGAAATATAGAATAGCAAGTAGGAAGAAACAACTCTGCTGGGGGTCTAGCTCACAGTTTCCCGGCCTCCATACGATTGACCCTTGGGACCAGGTAATTCTGTGCTGTGTGGGTGCCCTGTGCATTGTGGGATGTTTAACAGCATCCCTGGCCTCTACTCACTTGATGCCAGTAACAGCTCCCCCTGGCCCGTGATGCTGCCCCAGGTTTCCCCGGGAAGGAGGGGAAGCTCAAAATCACCCCTGGTTGAGAACACCTGTTAGCTTTACGTGTCACTGATCATGTGTTCTTGGACAAATGTATTAATCTTCCTAAACCTGGGTTTCCTTATCTGAACTTTGGAGATAAAATTTCTTCAACTGGCACTGCACAGTCATTGAGAAAACTGGTTTATTACAAGGAGTATAAAAATATTCTGGTAACAGCAAAGTTGTACGGGAGGCAGGAGATGACAAGGGTTTCTAGACATCCTTGACCTAAACCTTGAATCGAAATGAAGGGCTAGTAACCAAAAATTAAAGCAACAGAGGAAATATGAGGAGAGCGCTGCTTCCGTGAAATGGTTAGAAGTTACAGGAAAGCAAGTAATTCACACAGCCGTCTTGGACTAGAGTTAAGGCTGCAGTGTGGGAAAGTACTGATGAGGTCTGAGGGGAAATTGGACTATGTTCCCAGAGTACTGAATGCCTTTGTCAGGGGAAGGACTGATTCTTTTACGCCATGAATCTTCGGAAGGATTCAACTAAGGTGATATAATCCGTGTTTTAGATTGCTTAGAGACAGGAAGAGGGTGAGTTAGGAAGGTTTTGTAGGAATAGCAATATGGAAAAACAGCAATTCACATTATAAACGTTTCCATGTAAGAATGGCCTTGGTATTTGAATCACGTAAGTTCTGAGCGCCTACTCTCTGTTCCTCTAAACCAGTGAACATTGTTCAAGAACTTTCTAACTACCGTTCCCAGGGGAGGGTAAAAACACAAGGCAAATATAGAATTAGAGGGCACAACGCAGAGTCACTGCAGAACTTCAGAGAAGTGATGAACGTGGAGCAGAAAAGTTAGGAATGGCTTTGTGCAGGAGATTGAATTTAAACTACATATCAAAGGGTGTGTAGGGATTGAGTAAGTGGACCACATAAGCATGGCATAGGGATGGGAATTAGCTGAAAACCCCTTCTGGTAGAAGTGAAAAGGGGAGGGAGAGGAACGGCAGAGAGGTTTTTTGCTCACGATTTTTTAAGTTGGCTTGGCATGAGCAGGTAAAGAATTGGAGTGAGACAAAAATTCAATTGTAAAATATAATCAAGAAACGAAGAATTTTTCAAGTTTCTCTCTTACCTATTTGTTAGTTTGTGCTAGATGTCTTACCTATCCGTTGGGTAGTTATTATGGGCTGCAACAGGAAGAAAACTGAATCAGAGTGTCAAGGAGCTTGGAGGCTCACCCAGGCTCTGCCAGCACCTTGCTATGTGACCTGGTTTTTGTAAAATAGAGGAAGAGGAAGGAAAACAGAGTTGGGGTAGGGGAAGGTCTGAGATTCCTCCTCTATAAAATGAATGTAATATTTCTTTTCTAATAGGTGCTTAAACTTCAATGCATCACTAACTTAAAGATGTCTAAAAGAAAGACATTGAGAAAAATTATTGGCTGGTCAATGAGTGCCTTTGGAGGGGAAAATAGTGGTATTTTATTGACTGCTTTTGCTATCTTGTGTTTGGTTTGTTTTATTCCTTTTTTTTTAAATTTTTTTTTTAAGTTTGCTATTTGCTTTGCTCCTTAGGGGAAAAGAGAAATTCCCAAATGTAAGAAAGGTTTCATTTCCTCTAGAAAGACTGTTGCAGGGACATCATTGAAACCTCTTGAGCAGTGGTTTTTCAGGGTGTCTAAGAACCCCCCAGCATGGCATGGAATATGTGGTGTGAATGTACACTTTTTTTGGAGAGAGAGTCCATAGCTGGCCTCCAGTTCTTCAAAGAGTCTATGAGGCAAAAAAGAAGTTATGAACCACTGACACAAGGCCGGGATTACTGACCTTTGTTGAGGTGCATGCCTCTAACGAGTGGGAGTTCGGCTTTGGAACTGTAGCAGGACCCGTGCCTCCCCTCACCCTGGTGCCGGCCCGGCTTTGGAGCCAGTTTTCCCACATCCCCGCTATGCCGGCTCTGCCAGCACGAGTGAGCGGCGGGGGGCTGCCTGGAGCCCGGCTCTGGGCACCACTTCCCTCGTCTGTAAAGTAAGGACGACAGCAGCAGCGGCTTCGGAAGCATATAGTGAGAGGGAATTGAGACAGCCTGTGGAAAGCCTCTAGCCCAGTGACTCTACATGCTAAACTTTAAAAAAAAATTTTATTTTATTGAAGTATAGCTCGTTTACAATGTTGTGTTAATTTCAGTTATATATGTGTATATATACGTATATATTCTTTTTCATATTCTTTTCCATTATGGCTTATCCCAGGACATTAAATATGGTTCCCTGTGCTCTACAGTAGAACCTTGTTGTTTATCCATTCCCTGTATAATCGTTTGCATCTGCTAGTCTCAAATTCCCAATCTGTCCCTCCCCCATCTACATGCTAAACTTTTAATATCAATAAATGTGAGCTCTTCATATTCGGATCAAAAATGATCTAGGATGCTTATTTAGTAGAGATAAATGTTTTCCTGATAACGTTTGGAAACATAACACTGGCTGACAATTAAATAATGAACCAAGCCCAAGTACACATTGTGTTGTGTGCTCTTGGGCAGTCATAGAGATAGATGATAGATAGAGAGATGATAGATAGACAGATAGATAGATGATAGATGATAGATATGCTGAAACCTGAGGGGTAAGGGTAGAAGCCGTCTGTGAGCAAGTCTCCTTTCCAGATTAAAAAACAATAAAATAAAACCAAAATGAAGCAAAAAGGTGTTAACACACCACAGCAGCGTGGTCTGCAGCTGGCGTCTCTGTGCAGTTTTACGGAGGGATTGTATTGCATTCCCGGAATAGCAACAGGAGAAGGAGAGCGGAAGCGGTGTTCTGGACTGTCCTTGTACTAAACATGCTTTTCAAAGAAAACAGAATCTTCCATTTGATCATGTTTTTTTAAAAAAATGAGAAAGCCCTGATATTCCTTTAAGAGGGGAAGGGGAAGCTCTCCAAATGCCTCTGAGTTCTAAAGGGATGAATTTGAAAATGGTGCATATTTGATTCTATCCTCAGCCATGAAGTTCCAGGAAGAGAAATGAAAAATAACATGCAAACTTGTCAAGGTTTGTATCAGTGAAATGAAACAAAGGAAAAACGTAACTGAACAGTCGTACATTAAGGGCACTTTCTCGAAAATTCCCAGTGTTTACCACATGAAATCATTTCACTTGGCAGCAAACCTGAACACAGCCTCGCCTTCTAAAAATAACACACCCCATGTGCCATGCAGGGCTGGGTAGCCACCAGCTCAGGGCTCCACGGGGCAAGGTCGGGACTCAGGAGGCTTCGTCTCACCTGTGGGTCAGGAATTTTATGCTGTGTATCCAGCTGCCTCTTGAAGGCTGTGCAGGTCGTCCCAGGCGAAGGATCCTCACCAAGCAGCCACAGTCCCCACGCCTTTCTGGGCACTCGTAGATTTTCAACTCATTTCAACAAGAGATAAAAATTGGCCTAGACCAGTGGTTCTCAACCAGGAGTAGTTCTGCCCCACAGGGGACATGTAACAATGACTTTCACCTGGCCCTCGCCAGCCTTTCCTGCAAGACCTTCTGCCATGCTGAGTTTCCTGGCAGGCCTTGGCGTAGCTTACATGTTTCTGTCTTTGCATATCGTGTTCTCACCACTGTGAAGGTGCCCGCTGCGCCAGCTCCTCTGCTTTTCAGCCCAGCAAACTCTACTCTCCTTCAGGGTTTTGTGCAAATATTGCCACCTCTTTGGAGTGTCCCTGGGGCCTCCAGAGTTGATAGTTTCATACTTTGTACTCAATGCTTGTAATTGATCATTTTCTTTATCCTCTAGAACGTGAACCCTTTAAAATAAGGGCTGGTTTGTGATCATTGTTGGAAAAACTCTAGAATAATCAGAATCCATGAAAAATGCCTAGCCTATGGTAGGTGCCGAGTGGATGGATTAATAGAGAGGTGATGGGTTGATGGATGAAGGATAGACAGGGGGATGGATAAGATGGTCAGTTGGATGGATGGACATCAATATTTTTGAAGAGCAGACAGGATAGAAATTTTATATAGTACCAGTTTCACAAAAGTAACAGTTATAAAATTTTACTCAGTATGCTATTGAGATGAGCACTGAGCTTTGAGCTTCAATTCAAGATATGAAGCAAAAGGAAAATGATGATGCTTTTCATGGATTCTGACAGAGATGATGTAGCCCTTGCAGAAAAAAAAAAGAGAGAAAGTCAAAGGGTTATATTGATTATTGAACCACCTGGCATTTTGAAAAGCAAAAATCACAACAGTCCTTGTGTCCTCTGCTTCTGTAGGTCACTGGGAACAAAATGACATCTCTAAACTTGGCCACCATATTTGGACCCAACCTGCTGCACAAGCAGAAGTCGTCAGACAAGGAATTCTCGGTCCAGAGTTCAGCCCGGGCTGAAGAGAGCACAGCCATCATTGCCGTGGTGCAGAAAATGATTGAAAATTATGAAGCCCTGTTCATGGTAAGTGGCCCTTCTTTGGCAAGACATCTCAGTCAACTGCCTGTTGATTGCCTCGTGGTGGCATAAGGAAACTCAGGCACAGCACAACTTAGGTCCATAGTGCTGGTCATTAGCTGAATTCACTGGAAGCCAGGCAGTTAATAGAGATTTACATACCTATGATGTCACTGTAAGTTTGTGATTCCATGTTTAAACAAACATATCCAAATTATACATTTCATTTTGTTGTCCCCTAAACAATGGTCATGTTTTGGAATCATTTAATTCTTTGTATAGCAGTGTCCTTGCCCCCCAAACTGATAAAACTCTTCTTTTTGGAACTCTACGTGGCCCTCGTGAATTCATGTATTTCTAACCATCCTCAGCAGTAGCACCTCCTCCAAGGTCAATCTGGACGTTTTGTGTCCTGCACGAAGCTTTACCTGTCTTTCCTTTGTCCTTCTTGCGTCACCTTGCCGTGTCACTTCTCTGTCCCTTGAACCCTGTTACTGTTCCTATTGATGTTTACCGTATCCAACATTGTGTTGAAGTCATTTTTGACTATTTCCCCTAGTAGATCATAAGCGTGTTTAAAACACAGGCTGTGCCCTTGTTATCTCCTCTCTGTATCCTCTGTACACTTTTGGAAGGCCCTCCATCTGACAGGCACTCAGTAAATACTTTTTTGATTTGTATTGAATTACCAGTTCCTGTTTTCCTTCAAAAAACTGCATTGCTTGCTCCAACTTCCCTCGGATCATTAGAACAAATGCCAACTCTCTTCTACGTCTATTCACCACTCGTACTGCATGTCAAAATTTACAGGAACTTTCTCCATGATTCTTCTTCCGTTTCTCTTTTGAATTTACAAATGCTCGCCATAAATCTTACCTATTCCACTAGAGCCTTTTGTGGCTTCTTCAACCAAGTATGGTAGTTCCCTCTTTTCAATTTCCTTAATATTTTATCTATATTTATCAAATGCCTTGCATTAGATTTATTTCCATCCTTGTCTTATATCAGTTATTCTTTGTGCATTTGAGAGCCAGTAGTTTCGAATATTTGCCCTCTCTGTCTCACCTTTGTGATCATGACCAAGTAATTCAATATTCCATAAGCATCAATTTCAGCTTTTGTGAAATGGGAAAAAATTAAAATCTGACCCGTTTCCTGGGGTGGTTCCCAGAATCATTTGATATGCAAAAGCATTCTGCAAACTGCAAAGTTCTATGCAAATGTTAATTAATAATTGTATTAGCTGGGCAACACAAGTTGGCTCAGATCTTAGTACTTCAGCACAACAGACATAAGTATCTTATTCACATAAAGTTTAATCAGATGTTTAGCGGACAGCGTTCCAGGTGGCGATTTAGGGACCCCAGCTCCTTGCATATTGTGACTCCTCAATCCCCTAGGCCATTATGGGCCGAACCAAAAGGGACATCCATAGTGCCCACTCCAATCCCATTGGCCAGAGCTCTGCCACAAGCCACACTTAACTGCAAGGGAAGCTGAGAAATGTATTCCTGCTGGACGCCCAGGAGGAAGTGAAAATGGGTTTCCACAATGAAAAGTTCACTGAGGTAGAATGGTGTCCTGCTCCTCTTTGAGTATCCGAGGCACTGCCCATGTGTTGCATGCAGTAAGCTCTCAAAAAAAAGTGGAAATTTTCATGAACTCTATATAAATTTCACCCTTCAGCCACAATCCTCGTGATTAATTACATATTTGGATGAATCAGATGTCTGAATTTTTCAACATTTTCATCAAGTTTTAAGTCGTGTATCATCTTGCCAAGTAGTCTTGGCATACTACATGCTCTCTAGATTCTTTTTTAAGACAAAATAATACGTCTTGTCAATCTTAATTGCATTCTCTAAATTCTGTATTCTAAGCAGAGTTCTTTACGTGAAACCAAACCATCAGGCGTTTCTTTCCACCTCAGACACTAACGCATCTCTTCCTGGCCTCCTTGAAAGTCCAGTTGCTGCCGTTTGAGCTGTGCCATTCCTCTCCTTCCAGTTCCTGCTGCCTGGATTATTAAGAACAGCAGAAGAACATCAATACTCCATCTTTTCCAGCGTTTTCCACATCTGATCTTTTGTTTGCCATTCCCTGTAGAGACCGACACCGAGATTCTCTTGGGTAATAGCTTATTTGTGTTCCCCAGTTGTGATCTATACTTGTCAGCGAGGCCTTCCCTGGTCACCTTGTCTAAAATCCAGCCCCCTACCACACCACCACCATACACACACATCCTCACTTCCTATTCCCTTTCCCTGCCTCTTCTTCTTAGCAGTTACCATTACCAATAAGGGTTTTACTAATTTCTCTTGTTTGTGTTTCCCCATTAGAATGCGAGCTCCCTGACAGGGTGAATTTTTGCTCATTTCCACCTAACTTTCTTTTTCTTTCTTTCTTTCTCTCTTTCTCTCTTTCTCTCTTTCTCTCTTTCTCTCTTTCTCTCTTTCTCTCTTTCTCTCTTTCTCGCTGTGTTGGGTCTTTGTTTCTGTGCGAGGGCTTTCTCTAGTTGTGGCGAGCGGGGGCCCCTCTTCGTCGCGGTGCACGGGCCTCTCACTATCGCGGCCTCTCTTGTTGCAGAGCACAGGCTCCAGATGCGCAGGTTCAGTAATTGTGGCTCACGGGCCCAGTTGCTCCGCGGCATGTGGGATCCTCCCAGACCAGGGCTCGAACCCGTGTCCCCTGCATCGGCAGGCAGATTCTCAACCACTGCGCCACCAGGGAAGCCCCACCTAACTTTCTTTACTGCATTACCCCTATGCCTGGTACATGGTAGAAACACAAGAAATATTGGTCGAATTAATGAATGACTCAGTGGTAGCTCTGTGACGTATGATTTCCATATTACTAATCCTTACTCCTTATACTTGTGAAAAGGTTTAGGCATGGAGGAATTAAGGATACCTTTTTCAGAGTAAGTTAACCATTAACGTAAGCATTCTTGATCTCCTTAGACAGATTATGAGAATTATGTGTTGAGGAAAGGGACAAGGAAGTAGGAGGAGAGGTAGGACAAAGATCCCAAGCCTGTGTCAATAAAAAGAAAACTGGGGGCTTCCCTGGTGGCGCAGTGGTTGAGAGTCCGCCTGCCGATGTAGGGGACGCGGGTTCGCACCCCGGTCCGGGAAGATCCCACATGCCGCGGAGCGGCTGGGCCCGTGAGCCATGGCCGCTGAGCCTGCGCGTCCGGAGCCTGTGCTCCGCAACGGGAGAGGCCACAACAGTGAGAGGCCCGCGTACCGCAAAAAAAAAAAAAAGAAGAAAAGAAAACTGGCTCTGGAACCAGAAAACCTTGCTATAGTCCTATCTTTACTATACATTAGCTGTGTGACCTCATCTTCTTAGATTTCCATTTCTTTAGTTATCAAAGGACTAGGTTAGAATGGTAACCAAGATCCCTTCTAGTTCTAAAGTCTGCATGGTTCTATGCCCTAGACCTAGCTTCATCTCTTTTTTTTAATTAATCACATCACTTTGTAGATTCTTTCGGCATATTTGGCATTTCAGAGTCTAATTTGTTATACCAAAGCTGGTGGCTGGTTGGCAAAGTGGGTCTGTGTGGATGGACAAAAATTCAATCATGTAGATAGCTGTTTCATTTTGTTTTGTTTTAAGAAGCTTTCAGAATTAGCACAGTAATTCCAAACAAGGAAGGATGAAGCTAGACAGGACCTGATGGTTAAAGGTTAGCAATTGTGCTGTTTCACAGTCCTTGGAAGGGTTTACAAGCTCAGAGAGGGAGGCATCGCTTCCCATTGGCATCAGAAAGGGAAACTTGTTAGAAAAGGTGGCTGTGAGTTTGTCCTTGAAGGCAGAATGCATCCTAGAAGCAGCGATTCCATTGAAGAACTGATGCCACAGAGGCCTGGCAGGGACCCAAAGCTTGTTCTGAGTGTTATAATGTCCTTCATTTCCTCATGTTGGACTGCCTCTCCCAAGTGGCCAGTATCCGAGTTAATGGGAAAGGACAGAAAAGAACCTGGCTTGGTCCCATAATACAGAAAAGATAACCACATTTAGAGGCTGACACACAGTTCGAGAGTGTGGCTAGGACAGTCTTTTTACCGGTTGTTTGCTTTTCAGGCACTGGGTTAGAAATCCTAGAGCTGGAAAAAGGTCATGATAACAGCCATCATGATCACTCTAGCAAGAGACCAAGGCAGCAGATCATAACCGCGGTTCACCAACTTGAACATGCAACAGTTGCAAGAAAAATTTGTCAGACGTTCAGATTCCTGGGCTGCACTCTAGAGAATCAAACGTAGTAGCACTGAGCTGGGGCTCAGAATGGTGCACTTTCTAATGAATACCTCCAGGGCATTCTGATAGTTTCCTAACCACATCTTGGGAAACTCCCAAGATGGTGGGAAGACCGTGAGCTTTGGAATCAGCTCCCAGAATTCAAATCTCTGCTCAGCCATGTATTTGCTGCATGATCTTGGCCCTATGCTTACCTTCCCTAAGTCTTCATTTTTTCTGTTGAAAACAAAAATGAGATGAAGCTTTACAGGATCATTTTGAGAATTAGAAATGACATCCTAAGGCACTTAGGACAGGAACTGACATATACTAGGGGCTCCAAAAAGAGAGAGAGAGAGAGAGAGAGAGAGAGATCACTGCTATTATTGTAAGAAATTGATCAGGTGCCTGCCCTATCAAAGCACCTCCCGGTGTCACCTTCGCAGTAAAACCTACCCTCACCACGCTGTGTAACACTGCGACCTACTCCCACACATATATACTCCTAGCCTTTGTTCTTCTCTTTCTTTTAGCTCTAGCGCTTATCACCTTCAGCTCACTGTATATTTATTTATTATGCTTGTTGAAACCTAATAGAATGCAAACTTTATGAAGGCAGGGATTTTTGTTTGTTTTATTCACTGATAGCAACAGCACCCGGAAAGTACTTGGCAGGAAATGGGTGCTCGGTAAGTATTTGTTACAAAAACACACTGCGATAATGCATTGCTAGAGAAAAATGCATTTTTGTTGTTTGTTTG